GGAGGGAGGGAGGGAGGGAGGGAGGAAGGAAGGAAGGAAGGAAGGAAGGAAGGAAGGAAGGAAGGAAGGAAGGAAGGAAAGAAACAAGGAAACTATCTGGGGCCAGGGCATGGGGAAGGGGTGGTGCTGAGACCCTGTCCTGGGTGGGAGTCCATGAAACTCTTCTTGGACCTGGGCTGAGGGGCCCCTCTCCCCAAGCCCAGATTACTGAGGGGAACAAAGCCTGTGCCTGCCCTCCCACATGGGATCTGGGCTGTGGAGGAAAGCCTTTGGCAGGGGAGGCAGTGGGGGCCTTGCCGACAGTGGAGTGAGAGGCCCTACCCAGAAACCTGCCTCTCTTTCTCTCCTTAGATCCTGATCTCCAAGAAGGTGGACAAACTGCCAACCTCCTGCTTCCCAAAGCAGGTCCTGCTTACCAGGCAGCCTCCCACCAGGACACACCTGGTCCAAGGGGTGCAACCCCATCCACCACAGGCAGGGGCAGCTGAACACAGGGGCATCCCTCTCTACCGGCCTCAGGGAGTGAACCTGGACCGAAACCACAGGGATACCGGGTGCTAGGCCCAATTTCATACTTAAGTTTTCACTACAACATTATTTTGTTGGTTGTTGGTTTTTATTTTTTATATTTTGACCATACCACAGAGCAAGATTGCCCAGACTTGGGCGGAATAAAACAAGGTTTTTCTACTCTGTGGCTCTGCATGTGCCTGCCGCTGGGCTGGCCAAAGAGAGCTAGGGTGGGCTCAGGGGACAACATGGGACTTGCTCTTTCTCCTAGCAGAATTCAGAAAGAGCAGCCACTACCCATCAGGACTACACTTTGATCAAGAGGGCATCAAGCCCACTGTGGAAACTTTGAGAGGTTCACCCCAAGGCCAAGTCCTCTGTGTAGGAAGAGGATCCCCCTGGGGGTGGGGTCTCTGCTCAGTCTCCCAGTCCTTCCCCCCCTGCCCCTGCCTCATTCTACCAGCCACTTACTCACATGCTGAGCACCTACGGAAAGCTGGGGCTGTGCTTAGGCTAAGCACACCCTGGAGAATCAGACACAATTCCTGCCGTTAGAGGTCACAGGAATGGAGTCGAGAGCACGCCACACCTACTGAGACAACTCCTGGGGGGAAGGTGGAGTCTTCACATGGGAGGTGGTCTCCCCAGGAAGGGAAGGGACAGGGGTATACTGGGCAGAGGCTGATGGAGGCGGGAGGCAGAGGTGCAGGGAAGCCCTTGGCTGCTGCAGCCCTTCCTCTCCAGCCTTGTCTGTGGTCTTCCTGAGGTCCTGGACACTGGGTCATGGTGTGCCTCTCCTCTTCCTTCCCCTCCCACCAGCCCTCAGGACACCTCTGCACCCACCTGGCCCCTGCCAGCTCCCTATCTCCCCAGGGGAGGAACTAGTGAAAAAAGGCCAGAGACATCCAAGAAGCAGGGCTTGGTTCCAGGGCCCTCCTCCTGCTCACTGGCTCTGTGACTCTGGGCAAGTCATGCTACTCCTTGGGCCTTGGTTTCCTCAGCATCAAGTGGGAGCACTGCTGCCAGGCTCACACGCTGAAATGGAGAGCCAGTGCGCTGCAGCCACAGGACAGCACTGGGTGAGCTGCAGAGGCTCCAGATCACTGTGGACCACCACCTGTTTGCATTCAGTGCCCCCAAAGGAGAAAGTCACCCCCCTTTTGTCTCTCATGCAATTCATAACTCAGGGTCTCTGGCAGCAACTAGGTCTTCCAATGGGGTGGGGAGGGAGGGCTTCTTGCAGCCATGCTGTGCCACCAGAAGAGTCTTGGCCCCAGCTTCCTAAGTCCTCGGGCCACTCCCATCCCAGGCAGCAGGATGGAATGGAGCATGGCCACAGCCCCTTCCACCTTCCCTCACTAAGGCTTGCTAGGATCAGCTCTTCCCTGGCACAGGGGCGCTTCACCCTGCCACCCTACATCCAGGGCTGGGCCAAGAGGACTAAAGAGAGTAGGCAAAAGCCTGTCATCCAAGGGTCATCGTCCTGCTGCACCCCTCACCCACGTATGCCTCAGAGATGCTATCTTGATTCCAGCCCCACCCCTCTCCTTTCTAGGTACCCCCCAAGAGGGAGCAAGGTCACCCTGTCCCAGACTATCAGAGGACCCTGAGGTGGAGTTAAAAGTCCCTAATTCCCAGGTCACAAAGGAAGCCCAGAATGGGAGCCTGTTTGAGGCCACAGGTCTCAGCCAATGCTCAAGGGAGGCTCCTGGGGACACACAGTGCTCCTGGGGGAAGGGTAAGCTGCCTGGTCTGGACAGGCTGGAGGGCAGGAGGATAGGAGGGGAGGGGGAGTAGGACCAGCTTCCCTGGCTGAACCAAGAAAGGGTTATTTCTTGAAAGTGGATTTCTAAGAAAATTTGCTGATTGGTGGGGGCCTTGGCACCAACCAGGGTCCCTCTTGGTCCCTGGCAGTGCCTGTGTGCTCACTTGAGCTTGGCACTCAGCACCACACAGGGCTTTCCAGGAAAATAAGGATGGCATGGTGGGCAGGTCATCTCCACTCCTGACCCAGAACCTCCTCCCTCTGCATCCTGATGTGTGAGAATCTACCTGGGCTGCAAAGGGCCTCTCAGTCACCCGCCTTAAGCCCCTCCTCAGCTTGCTCAGCCCTGAGGCTGAGAGGCTCACCACCTCTCAGACACTGCTGTGAGAAACACCGGGAGGGGAAATGGACCTCCCATCAGCCTATCGCTGGTCAGGGCCACAGATTTATTGAGTTCTAATACTTGGAGTGAGGGTGGGCGAAGGACACAGAAGGGTTATGCAAGAGGCGGGGGACCTGGCTGTGGTCCTAACTCTGTCTTTGATCGGGCCTCAGTCTCCCCATCTCTGTCCTGAGAGGCTTGGTTCCTTACGCTCCAGGGCTGCTCTATCAGAGAAGGTGGGAAATGGGAGGGAAGGGAGAGGTAATAGGCAAAGCCCAGCCTGTGTGAAGGCAGGAGAGGTAGACTGCGGGACTCAGAGCAGGAGAGCCAGCGGAGAGACTGCAGCCTGGGAGGGCCTGGGGCATCACTGCAGACAGAGGCCTAAAGTGGGGCATTAGATGCCAAACCAGACTGGACCTAGCAGGGGAAGGAGTGGCTGAGTGGGCAGGGGCAGGGCCTCTGATGAAAGCCAGTTTAGGGGACAGCTGGGACCCAGATCCCATTGCTGTCCTGCTCGAGATGATCTTCTCCCTCTCCCCCAGCCCCAGATGCTCATAGCTGCCCGCCACCCAGGGCAGCAGCATCCTCAGCGTAGAGCCCTCCCGGTTGCCCTCACTCCACAAAATCCCACCTTGTTTGAAAAGCCACTTAGGCCTATGTCAAGGAAGCATCTCAGAACCACAGTGTGAGTGGTAGCACTGGCCTGACATTCTTCCTGGCTTTTAGGTGAGGTGCTTCTTAATGCATCAGAATGACTTTTAAGAGAGCATGTTAATACACTGCTTGGCCAGGGATGGGAGGTTGTGAGGAGATTTGCAGATTTCATGAAAACAAAGTTTGACTCTCGATGGGAAGCCCAGGGCCCACCTACCCCTGCCCCATGTGCTGGAAGTCTCTGAGTCTCTCGGCCCAATCCCATGGCATCCACACTAGCATACAGGCCATGCCTCATGCCTATGATGCCCAACCCCCAGCTAAGGGAGGGTCCTGCTTGCCCTGCTGATTACAGACTGACTGAGGTAACAATGCCTGCCTCTCTAACCTGGGATGAGGGGCTACTTCCCAGCTCCCTCCAGGCATCTCTCCCCCTTTGTGGTCAAGACCAGAGACCAAGGTGCCCTTGGCTATCCACTCATAGCCTCTGAGGCCAGCTGGTCATGCGCAGGAGTGGGCTCCTCACTATGGCTGCCTCTGGGCACACACCACAGCCACAGCATATGTTGGAAATCGTTGCGCAGCTCTCTGCAAACCCCCTGGTATCCCCCAGATTGAGTCATGCAGGAGGAGCCCATGGGCAGACCTGGCCAGGGTGAATGAGAGGTGCTGCCCCCAAGCAGCAGCCTCACTGAAGCCTGTGTGGATACAGCTGTAGAGAGCAGCCAGAACCTGGGACTCAAGGGTACATATGACACATGCTACCTGGAATTTGCAGAACTTCCTGAAAATGAGAAGGTATTGAAAAAGCTTTAATACTGAAACACAAAACATGGAAAGCAGGGGAAGCAGTTGTGGATTTTGGCACTCATATGCCCTGACTATAGGAAATCATTTCTTCTTTTTTTCCCCTTTAATTTTTCAAAATCAAATGCAATCTGCTTTGAGCCCCTGGCTACCAACTGGGAAATTCAATGTGCTGAGTCATTTTACTCTCACCCTAGAGGCCTTAAAAGGCCCAGAACATCAGAGAGGAGCCCTGTGGTCTTCAGTCCCCTCTATCTCACATAGGCTTGCTGACTGAACCTCTGAGGGGAGGCATCTCCAACTCCCGCATAGCTTGGGCACAGGACACCAGTCAGTCTTATCGTCCCTCAAGGTTCACAATGACCTCAGGGCGCTGCCAGGCGAGGACACTGTCCTTGCTATGGAGCAGAGCCTCAGCCCCATCACCCAGCTCTCCCAACCTCTTTCCTCTGCCTGCTTCTACCATGTCCTCCTTAGCTCCTCACTCTGCCTCTCTTTCTCTTTGGGGAAAACTTCCATCACCCCATAGTGTGCCTCAATTCACAGAAGCTCCTTTAGACCTGACCTTTGGGTGGGGAAACACAAGCACCTCTTGGGGGAGGGGGGGGAAGACCCAGTAATGATGATGATGGCAGCTAACTTCTTCAATGTGCCAGGCTCTGTCCTAAATGCTCTACAAAAGTTCGCCCATTTAATCCTCATAATGAACCTGTGAAAGATACACTGTTGTTATTACCATTTTGCAGATGGAGAAGCAGAGGCATAGAGAGGTCATGTGATTTCCTTTCTTAAAGGCAGTCTGGGAACAGACAGAAAGCCGTATGCTTGTGCTTTGAAGTGTAGACAGAGCATTGTTCAAACCTTTGTCTCTTTCTTTCACAGCTCTCTGGAAACAGCAGCTCAAACACAGGCTGCAGGAGGAAAAGCAGAATTCCTCCTAGAAGAAGTATGATTCATACTTAGATTGTTCTTTATGGGCAGAGGAAGGGAGGAGCAAATTAAAATTGACCAGGAATCTAGTCAATAAAATAAAAATACAGCCCTGGCCAGGGTTGGAGCATCATCCCATACACCAAAAGGTTGGGGGCTCCATTCTGATCAGGGCACATACTTGGGTTGCAGATTCAAGCCCTGGTCAGGGCATGTGTGGGAGGAGACTGATTGATGTTTCTCGCTCCCATCAATGTTTCTTATCTATCTATCTATCTATCTATCTATCTATCTATCTATCTATCTATCTCTTCCTTTCTCTCTCCCTCTTCCTCCCTCTCTAAAATCAATAAACATATCCTCAGTTGTGAGAATTTAAAAAATGAGATGAGAAAGGAAATATTAACACAGCCATGGAGATAACTTTTGAAATTTTAGAAAATAATATATACAACTCCAATGCAAAAAGATGAAACTAAACCACCAACTCACACCATACACAAAAATAAACTCAAAATGGATAAAGGACTTAAACGTAAGACGGAAAACCATAAAAATACTAGAGGAATCCACAGGCAGTGAAATCACAAACATATGCCAAAGGAATTTCTTCACTGATACTGCTCCTAGGGCAATGGAAACT